GTAGAATATGATAGAATCTAGTAAAATTAGATAAGCAGTCTTGAAATCCTTTGCACCATGAACTTTATTTACTTACATGTTAGAAGCAGTTGTTATTGTTTATTATTATTAATATTATTATTAATATTATTATTTTTACTAGTTCTTACTATTTTCTAGTAGAGAAATCTTACCATAGTGCCCCTCCCCACCAAAATGTGGCACTGAAAGATTTTGTGCCTGTAATTACTGGAGAAACAGATTTGCTCAGCTCAAAAAAAAAAAATCTTACATAGAACTTTAGTAGAACCTTAATAGAACTTTAATATAAGTTTTTATAGACCTGTTGTTGTTGGGCTAGTTTTTGATTTAAGAAAATCTTATCATAGTGGGGGTTTTTTTTGTTGTTGTTGTTCTTTGTTTTTTTTTTTTTTTTCCCCCACACCAGAATATGATATTGTACTGAAAAATTCTGTGACTAATTGCTAGAAAAACAGATTCACTTGGCTCAAAAAAAAACTTTTTCAACGTCTGCCGTGTAGCCTGCTTAACATAATAAACCCCTACAATTCACAATGTCTACAAGCCACTTCAGGGGGAAAAAAAGCCTTCTGAGCATGGGTTCATGCATAGAATAAGCGATGCCCCATCCAGGCCCGCTTTACCCTGATAGGAGGAGGGAGCATCATTACAAGACTTTTTTGCAACTGAAAACATCATCTTATATTGTTAATGAATTACATATATGGGCTTACAGGAAAAAAGGGATCAGTATGGCTAGTGCTGGTTATGAGGAGAAAAAGATTTTCTTTTGCACACTTCTTGAAGGATGGCTACACGTTTAGTTAATTGTTGACTGTGGTTTGTTTTTATTATATGTATGGGCTAATTTTGAATTTATTTGCTGCCAAGGTAAACTGCCACTGTCAGGATTTAAAAGGAATACTGTGGTGTTATTATAAGGCTATAATTTGATTATCTACAATTTAGTTATGGCCATATTTTTTTTGCATTAAATATATTGCTTTAAAGTGAGCTACATGCCTGTATGACTGTATGACTCTTCACAAATTCAGGCTTCTTTAATGGCTGATACTTCTGTTTTTACCTATATGACACACATTTGTCCATTTCTGTAGATAACAATATGGATGAGCATGGAGCAGCAGAAACCACATAAACAAATCACTTGTGACGATTTAGGCATACAGTTAACATAATGCTAATTAGTATCATATTAACTGTATAATCTACTGTTACTTGTTAGCTACATTAGCCTTGTGAGCTCCAATGCAACATTAAAGATGCAAACTTTAGTCTCACATGACTGAAGCTGAAGTATAGCTTTAAGTAGAGTTTGCCTTGTTTGGATTGAGATACTGTAGAATGTTGTATGTATCTGAGTGCATTCAGTTTATGTGCAGCCCTAGTTGTGTGATTTGCAGCCCTAGTTGTGTGATTTCATAAAGCTATTAAACTGAACGAAGCTAACTTTGAAATCCAGTAGTTCTAAGTGTCTAGTGATTTCAGTATAGAATCTTAAAAAAAAAGGTTCAAAAGTGTTTGATCAAGTATTTGAGAACTGTTATTTGTCTGAGCCAACCCAGTTGTTGTAGCAGAATTGCATTTTAATTAGTAAAATAATTAAAATCTTATCAAATCTTGACCTCACAATCTCAACCTGTATCGAAACCTGAAGATCTATCTGTTGTTAATCTCCTAGTGTCTTAGTTGTTGTTATTTCTGTTGTGACTCGACCATAGTTATGAATTTGTTAGCCTCACTTTCCAAGCAGGGAAAATGTTCTACAGGGAGGTATGAATCCTTGGGCTGACACTGAATCGATTCATCATTTTTTGATTCGATTCAAAAATTATTTTTGAGAATTGAGAAAATGAGTTGTTTCAGTGATTCATGCCCCTTTTAAGAACTCTTATAAAGGATGTAATGTGTCTGTGTAATATAATGAACTTAAAAATTTATCCCTAATTTTTCAGACACAGTCTGAATTTGTCAGATTACTTCAGTAACGATAAAGGTAATTCCAAGGGAACATGCTCTGAACACAGGCTGTACTTGCAGCATAAGTAAAGGGTGTGTGTACACCTAATAAATTTAGATATTGACTAACAGTGATACGAGTCAGAGATGCCATAGATTCTAATCTAATCCAATTAAAAAAACAGGTCATTGAGGGGGAAAAACTTTGGATAACACATTTCTGAGAATGATTTTTCATGCCTGTCACAGTAATGATATTGTAGCGGTGACTTCTCTGTTGCTCTGCCTATGAGGAGAGACACTGTTTAACCGAGGGTGCCACAGCACTTAAGTTTAGCTGCGAGTTCAAGTTCCATATAGCCTGCACGTTGTGTGTTATTGCCCCCCCCCCAAATAGAGGTTTGTTTGGCTCTTTGCAGCATCTCCTGCTTCATTCTTCAGATATCTCTGCAATATCTTGCGATCTAAGTGAAAACGGACTGAGTGGTAGGCAGGGGTAAAGCAAAAAAAGTCTCTGACTGGCACAGTTGAACAACATTTTTGTGGAAAAGCATTACAGAGCTTGCATGTAAAGTGTTGGCTTGTCAAAGTCTGATAAAACTAAATTAAGACTAAAATAGAGAACTGTTGGTTGGTTTATGATCAGCAGTGCCTGAGCAGTGGTTTGGACGTCTCGTGCTGTGTTTCCTCAGTCATTTGCTTGAGAATCCTGCCTAAGCCACTCGCCATGAAGTCTGAAGAGAGTATCACGTATCTGTTTAAATGTCACGTTTTTGTTCAAGCAAATACATTTTTGTTAATAAAACATGATTCACTTGATGCATAGAATTAAAAAAAATATATTTTTAACTGAGGCATACGATTCAGAATTATTTTTTCACTTTTACGATCAGTGCAGTTGCATTATGAACAATGCATGGAGAAGGCAAATGAAATTTGTCAGTATGTTGTACCCCATCTGTCTTGGCAAACAATTGTGAAGACTGTGATGCCTTCCTCCTCTCCAAATGCACACTACCAGTTAGAGTCCCTCTACTACACAATGAAATTAAACAGGACCTAAATGTGCAGTGTCTGCAGGCTTACATAAGAAACCATGTTCAGTTGTGGACAGTAGTTGGTTTTGTAATCTGTTCATGTTGTAAATATGATTTAATATTTTGTTTAAGATTCATATACCATATTATGTGTCATCATGTTAGGTTACTGCTGTGTTGTTAGCAGTCTGTTCATTAGTGATTGTAACTGTTGTCTAATTAAGATGTAGACCTGACCATTTCAGCATTTTTCAGTTGTTGCTATTTAGCAATGCTCTATTTGAAAAATTACAAAATAGACTCACTAAAAAACCCACATGTGTAGTATATTGTAGTCTATTGAGTAAAAAGTTAAAATAAAGACTTTCTCAAAAGGCAGCAGATCTGTGATCCATGGTTTAGTAACAGAGTGCCTTGAGGGAGGATTTTCATAAGACCTCAAAGAAACATTCTGTAAAACTTTAAACATTCGGATTGTTTATGCTGATGAATCGGGAGTGGTGGTTGGATGGAAATAGATGTAAAAACAGTGCATTGCGCTTGAACTTACCACTGTCCTTTAAGAAGGTCTAGTGACTGACTCGGATTTCTGTACTTTTAACTGATTAATACCTAAATTTTGAAGGGGTGCATCATACAGGAAAAGAATTGTTTGACTCTTATTAGCCTATGAAAGCAATGCATGTTTGAACTGTGCAGGTTTTCAGAACATGGACTGTACACACGCTGCACTGAGGCTTAGGGAGCGTGTGCACAGAGGATGCCTGTTTTCTTTATTCTTAAACTTTCAGTTCATCAACTAAACAGTAAGTCCTTTATGAATTCAGGAAGGTCTGTTAGACCCAGTGATTCTGTACTTGTGTCCTACTAGAGTCATGCTTTTCATGACTTTTATCTGTGACGTGGTCTCGACTTGAGTTGCTTCTTAAAACTTTGGACTCCACTTTGACTGGAAATTAGATTACTACAACTTTAGACCAGAGAAAACAACAAAAAAAAGTAGAAACATATATAAAAAGAAATCGTGTTTGCTTTATAAGTATTTTTTTCTTTTACTCAATGTTCTTCATAAATGTACATTTCATTTTATTCTCTTTTCTGCATGTGCTTTTCAGTATTTTCCTTTTTAGTGCATAAGTCACTAGTGACTTGAGAGGCAGCCAGAATCACGTTATGACTCTAACTGTAATGTTGTGTTGTATATCAAGACTGTGGAGGCGTTGGTAACATAGCAACTATTATTCATCTAAGAAAAAAAATGTTACTGCCTGGGAAACACAGCAAAATTTCCTGCAGTAATGTGACAGATACTTCTACGACAGAGTTGAAAATATTACCCTTTAAATGTGCAAAAGCAGTCTAATTAAGGAGATTTTTAATAGCTTAGTCTCTTGTCGGATAGTTTAAAATCAGTTATCTAGGACTAGGAGTGTAAGTCTTTTAGATATCTTTGTGTTCTGCGCTGCATCTGTTTATTACATCTGTTTGTCTGTGCAGTTTATTGACTTTAGAATTTGCTCAAAAATAATGTTTATTTTGTGAATGCAGACCACGCCTTGGTAAATGAGAGGAGGGGAACTCTGAGGAATTTTGGGCTGGAGTTCAGTACGGCTTCTGTGGGTCATGAGAACGCCGACCCCCCTATATTAAAGATCAATTGCAGGCGTGGGCAAGGTGGAGGAGGTGGTGTGCGATATTTAGTCACGAGTAGGGGGAGTGAAGGACTGGTATTTATAGGAAGCTGGAATTGAGAAGGAGGAGTTTTAGGCGTGGTCTTTCCTCAAACTTCTGTTATGTCACAACTCCATTAATCATAAACAGTTCCGCTTAGTAGTTGATTTTTGACTCCTCAGCATTGGCTAACAGTTGTGCATGACTGTGGCTCTTAATTATCTGTGCCTTAGATTTATTTTTTTTTGTTCCTCCTCAGATAACTTTGTTGATGTATGACATAATTAATTGTACTTTGTCTTTTTTTTTCAGTTCTACAAACATGTGGTCCAAAGTGTGGAGAAATTCATTCAAAAGGTCAGTTGTTTCATAAGGGCTTATCAAAACCCATGAGTAGAGAGAGTCTTTAAATACTCTGCTTTTTCTGAATGTCTCATTTTTAATCTTCTTGTTCTTTGCAGTGCAAGCCTGAGTACAAGGTCCCTGGTCTGTACGTCATCGACTCCATTGTCCGGCAGTCTCGGCACCAGTTTGGCCAGGAGAAGGATGTGTTTGCTCCACGCTTTAGCAAGAACATCATTAACACCTTTCAGAACCTCTACAGGTGCCCCTCTGATGACAAGGTGGGTTTTCTACTATGTTCTTGTTGACTGCTTCCTAAATGTTGTAAGGTGAAGTTTGCTGAAGTTTATTGATGTTGGTGGTTGAGATTAAAGCAAAAGGAAAGCAGCTACTGAAGTATTCTTGGTTTAAGTATGCTATGCCCTACATCAATGGTTTGTAGTCCCACTTTTGGAACCCCATACCTGCATTAATTTACATTCAGGCTTGCATTACTTACCGACTATGTTCCTGTTTCAGAGCAAAATTGTTCGAGTCCTCAATCTGTGGCAGAAAAACAGTGTATTCAAAAGTGACATCATCCAGCCCCTTCTGGACATGGCAGCAGGGCTGCCACCCCCGAGTGTGACTCCAGTAATCGCCAGCAGTGCTGTTCCTGTTAATAATGCCACTCCTGGTTAGTTATTCATGCACCCTGATGCTTTTTAATGTGGTCAGTAATTCTGTTGAACCTGTGTGGCTATGGAGGGTCAGTAGTGATGCCACTGTAAATGAACATAGATCCTCAGCCACAGGCGTTTGCTTATCCTGTTACCACTCGAAGTTATTTTATCATTTTAGCATTCTGGTGGGCATTTTGGTCTTGTTGAGTTATGCTGACATCTAGTGGTTTTAGACAAGAACTTCTCTAAATTTGATTCAGACTTTTAAAACTTGTATGTTTCTCATGTGTAATTTTAGTATTTCTCTCCTGTTAATTGTCTCTTTCTGTGACAGGCACTCCTGCAACTCCTGCCACCCCAGCCAACATAGTGCCCAGTTTACCAGACTGGGCCTCTCAGATCTCTAACTCTGACACAATGGCAGCTGTAGCCCAGATCCTGCAGAGCCCTCAAGGCCAACAGGTCAGCTACCTCTCTCAGAGACAAGAGAGACAACTGGCATCCAGTCTATGCTCAGTTTAATGCACAAATTCAAGTCAAAAACTATAAATTCCCATTTCAGTGTCTATTATTTACTCTCGAACTTTTACTTCGTTGGTTTGCAGTTGCAGCAGTTGGTGCAAAGCCTACAGATGCAGCAGCAGAAGCCTCAGCCGTCCCTGCTGCAGGCTCTAGATGCAGGCCTGGTGGTCCAGCTACAGGCTCTAACAGCCCAGCTCACGGCCGCAGCTGCAGCCAACACACTCAACCCCCTGGAGCAGAGAGTCTCCTCCTTCAACAAGGTGAAACACATACTTACAGGTTGTGGCAATTTTCAGCAGTTTCTAGTTGTTCTCAGACAGTATGTATAAATTCTGTTTTTGCAGTGTTTTAGTATATAGTGACTGTGTAAGGAAGACTGATGACATGTGTTGCTTATGATTTATGACTGCATTTTGAATGTGGGGCTTGGCTCTGTGGCCACTGACACACATGAATGGTTTTGACGTCCTCTCCTCTTGCAGAAACTGTTGGGTCAGTTTGATTTTGGCAGTGAGTCAGAACCCAGTGAGGACTCTAAAAAGGACACAGCAGCTTCTCAGTTGTACGTACTTGTTTCTGTTGTTTAAACGTATCTCGAGGACTTTTCTGCTATAGCTCTCTGCTGTTGGAGCATTTTCAGAGTTTTCACCCACATATTGTTTAGCATTTCACATATCACATGTTGATTTCAGGCAAGAAGTAAACCTCATCTGTTTAATTTCTTTCATCAGACCCATGGTTTCTGAGTCTATCAACAGCTCTATTTTCCATCAGTTGGCTGAGCAGCTCCAGCAGCAGAACCTTGAACAGTTTCAGAAGCAAATCCTGGAGCACCAGCAACATCAGCAGAAGGTAGTGGTGACTGAGATGTAGTTACATGCACGTACAACATGTTTATCTGCTGCAGATATCTCCACTATACCCCAGTTGCCAGAGGAACTCGACTTGGGGTGGAGGGGAGAAAAATTTTAAATTGTCTTTAGCAATATTAGGCAGCTGTCAATTTTTACGATGATGTCAACATTTTTAAGCAAATTTACAGGATGTTAGCAGCACTAGGATGGGTCAGAATACATCTGTGATTAACAGACTGAAGGAGAATGAGTAAGTGTCTGGATGAGGAAAGCTGTACTGAGAATAGTATCTAAACATATCAAACATACTGTATCCTTAGAGAAATAAGATGTACAGAAACCTCATGCATGCATTAAAACAAAAACTAATTTAATCTTGTGCACTCACAGTTTTTTTATTATTATATTATTTCAGTCGATGGCCATGGAGAGCCAGGAGACAATATTTGGTCCTGAAAATACTGCTCCTCCTGCACAGAGCAATGTCCAACCACAACTCCAAGAACAGGAAACCAAATTGGATGACTCCATTGACAACCAGCAACAGGTAATAACAAATGTCAAGGTGTACTTTGTTGTGTGGTGGTTGAAGGAGGTTTTGAGGTCCTCTTTTAACCACATTAACTTAACAGACTTGAATAGACAGTTACACAGTATTCTGTGTGTGATGCTGGGATATTCTATATCCAACAGCTGTATCAAAAATGATCCAGTAAACTGTTCAAAGCTTTGTGTTTTTATTTGCTCATTGGGCTCATGTTAACCTATTGAAGAGCTGGAAATAATAAGCATAAAATGTCTGATTTTGGTTTACCAATTGGTCTAGTTTTGGGGAAATGTTACTCTTCGATCATCTGGTCAGGTGGTCACGTATTTATTAGTGTAATGAGGATTTGTGAGTCTACTCAGATGGCATTTTTCTTAGTTGGATGAGCCACAAACATTCATGCTCACTTTTTTCAGTTGTTTCTAGGACGTAGCGTTTCACTAATTGCTAGCCTGTTTCTCACTCAGTCTGCTCACATTATATACTAGACGTGTAATCTATAATGACTTGTAATTTTATTTCATATGTGTGTTTGTGTTTTGTACAGGACATGGAACTTGATGAGGGACAGGATACCGTAGACGAGGAGATCTTCGAGTCAGAAGAGAAGAAAACCAGTGGTACTCGTTCAAGAACACGTTCTAGGTCTCGCTCCAGGTTAGAGAAACAGTCAGCTATCAGATATAATATCTTGGCACAGAGGGTAGTTTAGTAGGTGTAATCATAGGCCTTTCATTCTTTTACTCCAGGTCACCTAAGAGGAGGAGGTCAAGGTCCCGCTCAGGCTCTCGAAAGCGCAAACACCGGAAACGGTCACGATCACGGTCGAGAGACCGAAAGAGGAAATCCTCCCGCTCCTACTCCAGTGAGCGACGGGCGCGCGAGAGAGAAAAGGAACGGCAGAAGAAAGGCCTTCCTCCCATTCGCTCTAAATTTCTCAGCGGTACAAACTGATTCATTGCTTTAAAATGAAGAAAAAAAGAAATGTGTTAAGAAATTGAGAAGTGTATGACTAAAGTTTCTGTGTTTTCCAATGTTGTCATCAACCTTGAATTACTTTTCTGTTTTTCAAATATTTTAGCAATTAAGTGGTATGACATGTTCAGAGTGTGTGACTTTCTGTGTGTTCTAACATCACTTGTTTTACTGTTTCCCTTATTTTTGCTTTTTCAACATTTTCAGTTTGCAGCACTACTTTGTGGGTGGGCCAAGTGGACAAGAAGGCCACCCAGCAAGACCTTACCAATCTTTTTGAAGAGTTCGGCCAGATTGAATCCATCAATGTAAGTTTGCCCTGGGGGGCTTCCTCCTGTGCTGTCTAGTAATTATGACATCCTCTTAGAAAGGTAACAAATCACTTAAACAGCTCTGCGGCTGCTTGACACTGAGGAAGTCCTCAGGCAAGTGTTGTGTGTTGAAGAGGCTGTTAAAATTGAATTGAGCCCCCTGTGCAATCCAGAGTTTTACATTTTGTGTCACATTACTTAGCTAATTAAGTCTTGTGAGCTGAATCATGACCCCGGACAGGCGAACTACAGCACTAGACTTGGGAAATATCAGTGCATCATGAATAAAAAATGTATATGCACAGATCTGATCTTAACGATAGTATGTATAAATTGACATTCAAGGCTTCAGAAAATGTGTATAGATGAACAAAAGTGTAGATCTGATTTTATAAGTCAGTTGTACACAAATACAGAGAACTTATCTTAGGAGCAAATTTAGAATGAAGTTCAAATATGTTTTATAAATGAAGCCTGTGAATGTCTTAGTATTTAATAACCCCTCTTTTCTCTCTCTGTGTAGATGATTCCTCCCAGAGGCTGTGCTTACATCTGCATGGTGCACAGACAAGATGCCTACCGTGCCCGACAGAAATTAAGCACCGGCTCTTTTAAAATTGGCTCCAAGGTTATAAAGGTTTGTAATCTTCTGTTGCTAAACTCAACTTTTTCCGATCATGCATAACTGCTAAAAGATTGTGTATTATGAAGTACTGTATTACATTTTATGAAATGGAGAGATGATGTATCCAGAGATGATGACCTTTCTAGGTTTCTGAGTAAATCCCCTGTCTTTGTTATGGTGTCTGTAGATTGCCTGGGCCCTCAACAAAGGTGTAAAACAAGAGTATAAGCAGTTCTGGGATGTGGACCTTGGAGTGACCTATATCCCCTGGGAGAAGGTCAAACTGGATGACCTGGATGGCTTTGCAGAAGGAGGCATGATTGACCAGGAAACAGTCAACAGTGGTGAGAAATTAACAGTGTTCAATGAACATGGACATGTTGGTGTTTGCACACCCTTACTTCATGCAAAGAATGCAAATTTTGAATTAAGTTTTATTCTAACTGTTGTTTCCTTTGTTAGATTGGGAAGCTCAAAAGAACAACGCAGAGGCGGCTAAGGAGGTGCAGATTCAGCCTGTGGCTGCTGAGGCCAGTGCAGTCAGCAGCTCACAAAGTGAAGCCTTTACACAGCCAGTTGCCATGATGCCTGTGCAGGTATATTATATTCTCTGGTCATACTACAAACACAAACAGTGTTTTTCTCCGGTGTCCATAATTGTCTTACATTTTCTTCCGAACTTGTTGTTTGTGAATGGGTAAATTCCTCTGTCTGAATTTGTCTCTTTGGACTGTCTATCAGAACATCGTAGCTTAAAGTCGCTCTCTAATCAAACTTGGAATGCTTTGCCTAAAGCATCTTTACTGTCTTTTAGAACAAAGATACATGAAATTATCTGTTTTCACTGAGGAGAAAGGACAGCTGGGTCCCTGTTGCCTTCTGATAACCATGATTCCCTGCTTTTCTTGCTAAGCATTATGTTGCATGGCTGACGGGTTGAAAAGATGGAGATCCAGGCTTCATTAAGTCTTTGTCCTTTCAGATTGTTAATATGATTTTGCAATTATTGGAGAGGCTGCTGTGATGGGAATTGGCTGTAAATTGGTCTTGAATGAGAAAATTTGTGAAAAGAGGAAGATCATGCAGAGCAATGTTTTTTCACTGCTTCTGAATCCTTAGTTATATTATCCAGAGGGAGCATTTAAATCGATTATTTAAATTGCGTACAGCTTAGTTGATTTGAAATTTTCGCAGTCAGCATTTTAGTGTTGGGAGTATTGCTTCAGAAAACCATTTGTTTCTCCTTATTAGATCCCAGTGGCACAGACTGTTCCTGCTGTAGGCCTGGTGCCGCCCACCTTCCCTGTCACCATGGCAATGCCCCCGCCAGGCTTTGGTCCTCCACCTCCTTTCCTGAGGGCGGGCTTCAACGCTGCACAGCCTCCTCCGGGTAGGTAGTTTTTTCACAGTTGTCCAGTAAACAAACTGTCTGGGTTTTTAGATTTAGTGATTTAATAATCAGCTTGTTCTCCATTCTCAGGTTTCATGGCAACTCCAGGGGTTGCTCAGTCAGCTGTTGGGGGTGGACTTGCCTCAGCCCAAACATGTAGGTCAAAAACCACCCGAAGTTTTGGGTGTCTACATCAGCAGTAGCTCTTTCTAAAACACAAATTTTGCATAATTATTAATCTCTTCAGTGTTCTGAAACATAAAAAGCAACCTCTCGTTTTCATATTTTCCAACAGCTCTGCTGCAATCTTCAATGTCAGCAGCTCAAGAAAACAGCAAAGACTCCACGTTTGGAGCCATAATCACTCCGACAAGCACTATTCCAACAAGTTTCATCCCTACAGCAGTGCCAGGGGCAGGAGTCTTTAACCCCGCAGGAGCACAACCCCAGCAGGCCAGTAGAGAAAAGGCTCCATCTGTGGAGAATGTAGACACACCTGCTGAAATAACACTACAGGGTAGGTTTATTTATTTATTTATTTATTTATTTATTAATGCTCCCTTTCTTTGCTTCTTATTCATATCTAGAGAATACTTATTTTCTGTAGTGGATCCTTTAATTGTAAGACGTGTGAAGTAAACGGACCTTTTTATTTGGTTTAGTTACAGTAAGGTGATAAAATTGGCTTTTTTGACTTGATTTGTAACATTTTTCCTCTATTTGTTGTTATCACAGGAATGCAGAATGCAGCGCGTAGTGGGATGGGTCTGCTTGGCATGCACCCTTCTGCAGCTCTTTCTCATCCTCTCTCTGGTCAGAGAATGCCCGGTATGCTGCCCCTTGACCTGCGACCCAACATCCTTCAAGGAGCTGGGGCGCGCTTCCCGCTCCTCATGCAGCAGGGCCTGGCTCAGCAGGCCAACAACCTTCTGGATGCCTCCCTTCAAGCCCAGGCTCGTGCTCGAGCACCTTTCTCTCAAATGGAGCACTTTAGCCGGACTGAAGCTGCTTTTGCAAGGACCCCCAACCCCTCAGCTGCTGTAACAGACAACCTGGACAAAGCTAATAATGAGACCCCTCCCAGGTCAGATGCTGGAAGCCAACAAGAAGGCGATCAGGACTATCGCTTCCCACCCCCAGAAAAACAGAGTACAGGCCTGCTGAAAACTCCTCCGCTGGAGATGCGCACGGAACCCACCCCTGTTAGACCTCCACTGCTGGAGAGACCCCCTAGAGCTGGCATGCAACCAGAGAGCCGAGAAGGAGCTGGAAGAAGAGATTCCCTGCCAGGCAATTTCAGAGGCGAATCTCGTTGGGGTCCTCCACGAGGAGACTTTGATGAGCGTGACATGAGAGGATTGCCGACCGGAGCCCCCAAGGGCTTCCAAGAGGACCGCCCCAACCCCAACTTCCAGAACCGCTTTGAAATGCGTCCTGGAGGACCCACAGGGGGAGGAGGCCCAGGCTGGAATCGTGGAGGAGGAGGAGGAGCACCTTTCAATGCCAACATGCACCAGGACTTTGATGACCGCCGTCGGCCCTGGGAAAGGCAGAAGGACCGCGATGACCGAGACTTCCGCAGGGAAATGAATGGCAACCGGCACAGCCGGGACCATGACCGCGACAGGGAGCGAGACAGAGAGCGGGAGAGGGAGCGAGACCGTGGAAGAGACAGGAATCGTGAGCGCGAGCGAGAGCGAGAGCGGGATCGGGACAGGGAGAGAGAAAGGGAGCGGGATAACGATAAGGATAAGGAAAGAGACAGAGAGCGCAGTGGTGGCTGGACACCGGTTCAACAGCCTCTTCTCCCTCTGCCAAAGCCTCAGTCTCAGCCCCTGCTCCCTCTACCCACTCCCCTGCTCAACCTGCCTCCATCACAGCTCGATTCACAGCCTAAACCGTTACTACCGCATCCACCTCAACCGGAATTGCTTCGCCCTGAGCTGCAGCAGCCAGGACGGCAAGCTGAGCCTCAGCCGGAAGCAAAGCCCCAGGCTCAACAGTCTCAACCCCAGTCACCCAGTGCCCCAGAAGAGGTCACAAGCAACAAAGAGAAAATGGAAGACTTGAATGTCCAGGAGACTGTAGACTCTAAACCTGAAATGAACCTCATCCAGCCTAAGCCAGAGCCCACTACCGAGCCTTCTCGCACCCCCTCTCCTTCTGTTTCCAAGCCCATGTCAGTCAGCACCCCAGACGAGCCCCCAAAACAAGAGGAATGCCTGGAAACGCCCGCTGCCCCCCTTGCGGTTAGAGACAGTGAACAGATTGGGCCGAAGGCAGAAGCTGAGACTGATCCTGAACTAGTGAAAACTGACACTGAGGAAGCATAATCATCACTCAGTAGGTAAAAGATCATTTTGTATAGTTGTCATCTCTGTACTTATTTCAAAGGCTTCCACAGGACCTGCTCAGTTCATGACATTGCCTGACACCCTAACAAACGATTTTACTTTTCATGCTAATGATGTACGTCATAGATGGCTCGCAATAGAGGATTATCAATGGTAGGTGATATTTTAAATATTTTTATTTTAATTCTGTTATTTCATGTTTTTAGTTTTTAATGCAACCCCACTGTTTTAAGCTAGGAATCCATGAAATTTGCTTGCCAAAATATTGTGTAGCCTAATTGTAAATGCTGGGGTGGGTGGGAGGGTGGGTTGCGCTGTGGGGTGCTTTAACCTTCCTATGGAAGAGTTTAAGGATCCTGGCTTTTTCTAATGGATTGATTGCAGAATACTTGAAAACAGCGGTCACTGGCCTGTTCTGTCTTTTCTTTTCAAAACCGCAGCTGCAAAGTTTGAAATGAATGCCTTTGTGGTGTCCTATGCTTGTTGTCTATTAAGCAAAGTATGCGTACAACCAATACAGTGAGAACAGTAATGCGTTTTAGTTGCTTTGAAAAGGAACCAAAAAAAAGATTAAAATATGATGTACTATCCCCATGTTAAATGTCTGATTTTTCTTCATCATACTACAGTGAATTCAACAGTTCAGCCAGAAAAGGTTACAGAAAGACAAATGGATGTTGGGAGCACTCTGTTTTAGTTTCAAATAAACATGTTTTTTTGTTAAAAATGGTTTAGGACTGTATTTTCTGCAAAGGAAATCATCTACACAAAGACAATTATAACTGACCATGAGCCAAATGTTGATGGATCCTGGCATTAGAGTTACGAATGTGAGTGATTGCAGGCTTTTCTTATATTTCTAGAGGAGTTGGGTGGCTGTTGGGTTGTGAGACCTAACAGATTAGGTCTGGGTCTCTGTAGTGTCTCTGACTTTTGTCATAATACCACTGTTTTTGTATGTAATGTGCTGTAATGATTGCAAAATACACACAAACACAAACATGTGATGGCTATCTGTGCACAAAAGCAGTCAAATGTCCACTCCTAGCCTTTTCTCCCCTTGGATGTTGCAGTTTTCTCTAATTTTCAGCTTCCCATCTACATCTAGATCTACAGTAAGCCTAATACTCTTAGCCACTACAGTGTCGGAACTGAAAACTTTCTCAGAACTTCAGTAAACGACCTGCAGTACCCATCATAAACTGTTTTGAAGTGAAATGAAAATTGCGTGGAATTCTGTTTGATTGTTCTAGGCCAAGATTTCCCAACCAGAGGTTAGCAAACCCCTAGTTGTTTGTGTTGGCTTTGCAAGAGGTTCGTCAGACTGTGATGGAAATGTCAGTCAAATTAAATTATATTTCAAAAATGTATGTTTTGTGAAATGTTTCATTGTATTGTGACGTGTTCGACAAGTGACAGTTTCGTGTGTCCAGTAAATAATTATCCAGTAAATAATAACCAAAAAGGTAAACATAGTAATCATGCCACAGTTTAATGTAGATTACAGCTAATAGTTAGCTAAATCATACCATGTGACAAAAACGTAGTTGCCTTAAATTTGTATTATATTAGAAAAAGCTTGCACTGTGAGAACACACTTGGAAATTAAACAAGCAAACTAGACCACAATCATTAAAAAAAAAATTTAGCCTGTTTTAAATCCCAAGGGGTACTTATGGTGAATAATTCGGCTGAGACTGGTAACCCCTGTTTCAGGCTAATAACCCTTAATCTGCCCAGTCGTTCGTTTCTGCTAAAGTATGAGTCAAAATGTTGTGATAACCACATTTAGTCTGGAACTTATATGCATAAACACATTTCTCCCTTTTTGAACTTTAAATTGAGAAGTGTAGAAAAAACGTTCTTGTTGGGGTCATACTTATCTGGAGAAACAGACTTCAGAGTCTTCAGTCCAGTCAAGCATGAATATTTCTTAGTGAAATGAAGACTGTCACGCTGTATGCTTGATGGTGGAATAACTTCATAAAAATATTTGAATAATAAGCTCATTTTATTTCTCCAGAGCTCCAAATGCAGACAGCTCACAGTACTTTTATTACAGAATGTTAAAAACAGAATAACATGCTATGCATTTGCCACTCATTCATCCTTTCTCCTTTTATCCAAACTGAGTGTTCGGTAGAAACTTGTTGTCACTATATTTACTGCCTTTGCAGTGCACATGCTGAAATGATCACATGGCTGTAATGGATGGCCTCTGGGGCCGTGCCCATAACCCACAGGGAGAACATGATGATCAGCGTCCACAACTTAGATATGGAAATTTCAGCCTAAATAAAAAGGAGGGAAAGCAGTTCTTCCGTTGTCCCGGCGTTGACCCTTGCATGAGGGCAATTGAAAATACAAAGCTAGAAATAGCTCTGCTTTCATCACTTGTTGCACACCCTTAAATCCTGTCCGAGGGATCTCCCATTCATCCCTGTACCTGTATTTACCCTACAAATGAACTGAAGCTCTTAACAGATTAATCCTATGCTTTTACAAATCCTTTATGATGGACCTCCATTTATTAAGTGTTAGAGGGGAAAATGGACTCAGACTTCTCATGAATATGGCATGTAAACACCATTTTATAACAGACTGGACTGAACACAGTCTTGAGGACGCTGCTCGTCCAGCCATCTGGTGCTGGCATAGAGAGTGGTGAACAAAGGAATGCCAGTGGTGGGGAGATGGGCTGTTACCATGCTGATTCTCTTCCTCTGCTGGGAAAGCAGAGATCTAAAATGTGCATAGTCAGCACAGGTCCCCCCAGCATTTCCATTCTGCCCTGTTTCAATGCCAGGTTATTAGATCATGTAAATAGCTGGCTGAGTCGGTCACACTGCTTCTTTTTGAACAAAATAAATAATGTACTGAGCAGTGATGCACAGATTAAATATACATTCTTAAAAATAAAGATGCCAGAAAGGGTTCTTTGCATAATGCCGAAGATCAGTGGTCACTAGTCCTGCTCCTGGAGAGCTACCTTCCTGCAGAGTTTAGCTGCAACCTTATGCAACCCACCCCACCCTGATCCATCCAATTATTGCCTTCAGAAGTTCTTGATTAGCTGAATGAGGTGTGTTAGATTTGTCTTGGAGGTGAAACATGCAGGAGGAGGGTTGCTGACCGCTGCTGTAGAAGAGCCACTTTTGTTTATCCTACAGAAACGTGCAGTGGATGGTTCCTTAGAGAACCATGTTGTATATGAGATGTGTGAGTGTGAAGAACCTTTTTTAAAGCTTAAGTCTCCACATAATGTAAAGGTTCTAGACGCATCCCCCTTAACTTGGTATGTAACCTTTACATTATGTGAAGGTTCTTCACACTCACACATCTCTTTTTCAAACATGGTTCTTTAGGGAACCAAAACTTGCATTGCTCAGTGAACCCTTTGTGGCACCTTGTTTAAAGCGTACTGCATTAGATGTTGGTCAGAGATCCACGATCGATACCGTCTCTTAATCTCAGTCATTAGAAAATTGTAACACCCACCCTTTTTCATTAACACTGTTTTAATTACATTGTTCTGGAAGATTAACTATATTTTTTCCATCCTAAAAAGAATGTTAATGACGTTCTCCATTAGGCTACGTAAGTCTGCGCTCCATTGTTGTTTGTTTGTTAAATGCTGTAAATGGGTTAGGGTGTGATGGAACATGTGGAGTTATGGGACCAATCACCAGGGGAAAAGAAATTGTGCAGGCCTGTATACTGCAACACTTTTGCTTGCACCTATATGCGAAATAAATATTACCTGCCTGCTAGTCAGAGTGTTACAATAAGAATCAATCTAGTGCCTCATCGATATACATTGTATATTGTTCCGGTCAGGACAAAAAAAAGCTTTTGCTCTAAGCTGCCTCTTACATTGTGTGAAATTGTCATGAGTAGACAAATAGATATGGTTCAAAAATGTCTTTCAATAAAATGTTTGCTAACACTTTGATTGAATCCTGTATTCAAAATGTATTATAAATAGCATAGATAACACTTAATAACACTGTGCCTAAGCCTGTATAATTCCAACTAAGTAGTTATAATTACACATGCATAATGCTTTATAAAGCAAGAGTAATTGACTATATAGCATCAGATTTACTTTGAATCTGTCCAAAACATTATAAATGTCCATTTTCTTTGTAACATCATTGTATTATAATGTACTACAGTATCTATAATAATATAATAAACAGGGCTACTTCCAAAATGTTAGGGATGCTTTCAGAAATTTCAGTCGGAGAATGAAAATAACCATATTTCTACATATTATAACCTTATTTAATATAGCACCAATTAAAATACAGTTGAGATGAAAGAGAGAAGAAAAGTGTGTTCTTATCATCACGTTCTGAAGATTTTGTTTTTGAAGACAAGTTGAAATCGGCACCTATTGACATACTTTTTAAGGAAAATAATTATAAAAGTGAACGAGACAGCATGATGGGCATACAGCGGGTTTTAGGCAGATACCTCATGAGAGCACCTGCATTGGACTCTATCAGCCACTCAGATAACAGAATCAGTCTAGGAGAGAAAACATTGAATTAGTGCATCCCATAAGACAAGCATCTCCACACCACTATACACACAGTTCCTCTTAAGATACTGTACACATTTTGGATTGGAAGATCCAAAAAATCCATGGATAAGCATAATAGCGCATAGAAATGCGGTGGGTGAAGGTGAGGAGAAATGTGTTGGAGGCTTCTTCCGGCCTGTTTTCAATAGGGAGCTGTACAGTCTGCTTAGCTCTCAGCAGGAGCCTCGGTCTAAAAGCTCTCCAGACCCCACACAAGAACACAATCTCAGCTCCGCAGACACAGCCAGTATGGAAATCCTGGCAGTAGAAAATGTAATTTTGCACTCCCTTGTATACATTTCTGATAGGTGGCTTGGGAACCAATAAAAACCATGGGTGAATAGCTATTAAAAGACTGAATGCAGTGCTCTGTCTAGTGCTGGTCATTTACATAGTTCAGCAACCGCACTACTTACTCAGTACTTACTAAGCTGCTTATTTGCTGCTGAAAATTTTTAGTTGACATTTTACTTTGTGTCCTGATTCATCAAAACAGGAGGTTTTTCCAGACTTTCACTACCAGGTCAATTATTCCCCAGATGTGGCCTAAAGGCGTTTGTGAATGCCATGTGGCAGAGCTGCTGCACCAGGAGCATCCCGTTTAGAGACTTTTCACTTCTTATTAGTCACTTTTCCGCTCACGTCCATGGTGTTCTTAATGCAGAGCGCATTAAGGGGTTTCGTGCCAGTCTGCGCGTACCACACAATAGTTTGCCACGCCTCAATGACACAGCAGTAGATTTCAGCAGCTGTAGGAGCAGAAGCCTGGCTTACAGTGCTGTGCAAACTCAAAATGTGACTGGTCTGATCATTAGTGTTATTGGTAGGTTTTCAGATGTTTATTGACTAAATGACCACTCAGACAAGGCAGATTGAATGTATTATGAGAAAGCTTATAGCTCTTTTTATGTCTGAGTTATACATGTGGACACTGTGAAAGAATAACCCACCCAAAACTCCTTAAGACTTCTGTTCTACCCATTTTAAAATTGCTGTAGTATTGAAAAGCAGCACAGTCTGTGTTCATGAGCATTTAAAGGCAGTGCAAATGGCTTATCATGAGCAGTCACGACTCAAGTTTTCAGCTGAATTGTCTGGTGGCTTACTCTCCGCAGGCATCTGATATGTGAGCAGATGCTGAGCTTGTCCAGTAGAGGGCACTCTGACTCTTCTGGAGGCTTGAAAATGGTCTGTGTGGTTGCTAGACTAGCAACAGCCATATGTGTACTGCGGTGTTCAAAACTGACTGGCTGTCTTTTAGACTTCCTATAATAAATTTAGCATAGATTCATATCACGTCCACTATTGCATAGCATGTGTGTATAAAATCCTCCAGCTTATCAGCTCGCCTGAATTTTACAGTTTGGGTGTACGGCCTTTAGATCTGGTCACTGTGACTTGCTTTTAATTCCACATAGGGAACAGCATGCAAATGGTTCTGTCACTATTGTTCAGGGACTTTTGAGTCAGCTTTGTAAGTGATTGTGACCATGTCATGACCCAGTGGCAGTCACACTGAGGGGTCGGTGGGGTAATCACCAGGTGCAGGTCCCCTAAAGTCTTTTTTGGCCTTTTTATATGGACATTTGAAAGCCCATGAGGGACAGGGATGCAGTCTCACTTCCTGCTCTTAAAAACAGGGGTGTGGCTAAATAAGGCTCCACCTATGGACTAAAACTCTGTGAGACAGCTTTTTTTTTAATTAAACTCAAATTTAATGTTATTTTCACAAGTTACACAAGGGTTTGGGAAACTCACCTCCAAATTAATCCTTTAAACAG